GCAGATTGATGGGGGTAATTAGATTTTCCCAAATTCGCACGGAAAAGTGGAATTACCCTTTGAGTCACTTGCAGTTTGTAGGTCAGCAAACATTTTTGATAGTTGTACTTGTAAATAAAGCCCATTGGGAGACATTTATCGAAACTGCACAGAGAGAATACTGGCCAAGTTCTGTTTTCCCGAAAAATATGTAATTTGCAGATTACTTTTCTTGAAAGGGCAACCAGTTTTGATTTACAAAAGCAGAAATTTCAGGGGAAAAAAAAAAAATCAGCGGAAAAAAAAATGAATTGATACCAACTTTAGAAGTGCATCAGCAAAATATATGCAAAGTGCAGATCCTGCCTAGTATTCCCCAGTGCATTTATCAAAAATATAAGCAGTAAATGTCATTTTTATGTAAAATATTCACACACAGCTTTTATTATTTAAAATAGTAAGTGTACCCTTGATAACTGGTCATTGTTTTTACTCTTGGTCTGTGAGGGAATCTAAAGAGTTAACAACCCCCATTCTGTACCCTGGACAATTCATGGATGTTTGTTATTTCTGTAATTATGCCAATGCATATAGACAAAGGTTGAGCAAAATTAAATTAATGACATGGAAAGTAATTACGCCAAGAGTGTTTCAGTTTTTTAAGGAAAGGAGTATCACTGTTTCTCTACAGTGGCACCGAGCCAATCAGCAGTACAATGGGGCCGATTTATGAACAACAGAGGAAAGAAAGGCAGCTATGATGTCCTTAACCTCCATACAGATCTTTTATTGCAGTTTGTAACCAGTGCAAGAAATGTAACAACTGGAATCCGAATGATTGCTATGAACAATGCTCTTTAATAACCTAATATCTAGATTCAACACTCATACGAGTGACATATAGAACGGGTTGTAAATCCAAAGGCTGACATATGGCCCTCAGGTGTATTTCTTCCAGCCCTGGTATGAACGTAATAAGTTTTCGGCTGTTAAAGCCAAGAAGACATAATCTCCTCTATCAATTTGTAGAGCTGAAACGTTTGCCAGTTGCCTCAAACATTTCAGAAGTTTGATATGGATCAGTGCTGCATCAGTTCTATGATTGGTAATAACCTCGAGAAGACAAGTTGAGCAGCTGCAGAAAGAGAGCCTCCAAGATTAATGAGGGGCAGAGCTTAGTATGCCAGAAAAAGCAAACCGTCATTTATTTAAGTCTAGGCACCACAAGCTGCCAGTACATACCAAAACTGCATCGAGGAACACCCAGGAACCTCCCAAATATGATCAAGACAAAGGTCAAGAAAACACAGGTCAGTCTTTCTATGTTGACAATTTTGAAAGCAGTTCTGCAGTGGTATTAATAAAGATGGGACAACCCTGCTCTACAGGTGGCTACTTTTCAAACTGATTTTCCTGTTATAGGTGGAATGTGTTGTGCTGAATTATCTGCTGCCTGCTTATATCTTATGGAGATTTTTTAACGGTGCGCTCTTGACATAGTTACTGTGGAGTTTTGGGTGCTCCTGCTCCTTGTATTCTATTTTCAATTTATTTTTTTAGAAATCAACGCTTATTAAAGAGGACCATTGAGGAGGAAAAGTGTGTATATATATATATATATTTCAAATCACACACACATAGAACACAGACAGACACTCCTTGGTGTACACTGGGGTTGCGTTCAGATAAACTCATCGTACTGTAAACCGAGGAGTGTACTGTAATGCCACGGTCGGCAGCAGACAGTACACAATGGGAAGCAATAGACAGACTGCAAATTGCAATAGCCAATAGCAGGCTGGCTATTGAAACCACGCCCATTAAGAGGAGGAGTAGACCTGAGAGAGAAAGTTCTCTCAGGTCAGCTCCTCTGCTCGGTGGGCAGGTGCAATAGCCAGCCTGCTATAGGCTATTGCAATTTGAAAAAAACAATAGCAGTCTTGCTATTGCTCATGGCTGTTTACATTTGAATGGGTAAACCTCGGGGATAGTTGCTTGAGAGTTACTATCAACTCTTAAGCAACCAGAAACTACAGTTATCCGGCACCTACCAATCCCCGTGGGTGTTGAATAACTGGGAGTTTACTGTACAGTAAACTCCATTGTAAATGCAAAAGATCGGAAATCAATCGAAACCC